CCTCTTCCTATGTAAGCTAACTTGAGCCTCACTAACCTCGTACAAAGTCCTTCACTGCTCAGTAACCTACCTCCTACACCAAACAACCTGCAACATCTGCCACATTGCCCCCCTATCCACCCTGTCATATGCCTTTTCCTAATGCCATAAATGCCACAAAAGACCTCTTTACCTTATCTAATACTGTTCACATTATAAGGTTTCACTGTAAACACCTTGTTCCACACACCCCCTACCTTTTCCTAAAGCCTCCTTGTTCATCTTCTATCTCTATTTCTCATCTTACTTTTAATTCTTTCAATAATAACTCTACCATACACTTCACCAGGTTACTCAACAGACTTATCCTCCTATAATTTTGGCACTCCGTCTTTTGTCCCCTTGTTGCCTTTATACAAAGAACGATGCATGCACCTCTGCCAATCCTAGGTACCTTACCCCTCATACATTTATTAAATAATTGCCACCGAACCCACTCCAAAACTATATCCCCACCTGATTTTACCATTACTATCTTAACCCATCAATCCCGGCTAGCCTTACCCCCTTTCATTTTACCTACAGCCTCAACGAACTTCCCCCACACTCACAACTGGCTCATTCCTCACCCCTACAAGATGTTATTCCCTCCTAGACCCGTATACACGAAATCCACAGCTTCCCTGTCTTCATCAACATTAACAATTTCCTCAAATATTCCCTCATCTTCCAAATACCTCTAACACTCCTTTAATAAGCTCTCCTCCTCCTATTTTTACACGTATATTTAGCAAAAAAATAAAAAAAAGATCTATAATCTTTGCATACAAGGGGCTATTTGGCATATCAACGCCAACCATTTTCTATAATTCCCTTGTACAGCTATGTATCTGCCCCAAATAAAACTAATGAAATAACAGTGGACCCCCGGTTATCGCCTGTTTGGTTATCGCCAAACTCCGGTTATCGGTAGGGTTTATGATGCTCGGGTTATTGCCGTTTGCTCGTAATTGGCCATTTCGCTTGTTTATTGGGACGTTTTTGGACCCATCATCCACCGCTGGGGCAGATTGCGTTCAGTTTGTCTTCATCTCTCGTGCTGAGAAGCTTCAGCCTCATACATCCAAACATTTCACTTGTTTACCTATTTTTTAGTGGTTTTTTTTGCCAGTGCAACTGTGAAATAAGTAACCATGATAGCTCCAAGAAAGTTCCTAGTAAAGTTTCCTGTGGTAAAGAAAGTGAGAAACACCAAGGAAATTTAAGTGTGAAGTGATTCAAAAATATGAGAGTGGTATTAAAGTGTGAAACTTGCCAGATGTAAGCAAGAATAAATCAACAATTACATCCATCCTGGCAAAGAAAGAGCAAATCGAAGATGCTAATGTTCAAAAGAGTAACTTTTCTACTAAATAAAGGACACCGTTAATGAAGAGATGAGTGTATTGTGGGCCTGGGGAACACCCTGGGTTTGAGATGAGTGGTGAGGAAGTGTGGAAGAGTTGGTGGAGGACCACAGGGAAGATCTTAACACTGAAGAGCTGCAAGAGCTTCAACTTGAACAGCAACAGATTGCAGCTGAGGAACTTGCTTCCAAAGGAGGAGGAAGAGGGAGTGAAGGAGGTGCTTCTCAGAGATTAAAGGAGGTGTTTAACAATTGACCATGGTGCAAGTTTTTGTAGAGAAACACCCACCCTTGACCAAGCTGCAACAAGCCATATCTGCAACAGTTCAGTGACAACACTCTGTCCCACTTCAGGGAAATCTTAGAGATGCCAGAAACAGACCTCTGGACAGTTATTTTGTGAGACAGGGGTCCAGTGACTCTCAAGCTGGTCCTAGTGGCATAAAAGAGAAATAAGGGAAGGAACGCCCAGAGAAGCTTTGCTAACCTAAAGTCTTTATGGAGGGGATTTCCCTTCCAAACACTAACTCCTCCCTTTCCTCTTCCCTATCTTCCAGAAGTCAGCATTAGCTTCAATTAAAGGAATGTAATACTATATATAATTGTTAAAAAAAATTATTTTTTTGTGAAATATTTTTGTTTGGAACGAATTAATTTATTTCCATTAATTCTTATGGGAAATATTAATTCAGTTATCAGCCATTTCGGTTATCAGCCGACCTACTTGAATGGATTTACGCCGATAACCGAGGGTCCACGAATATACCCTTCCCTTTCCGTAGCCACACTAGGACAAATAACAGAGTAGAAATAGTCCCTAGGACTACAATAAGTAGATTTAGTCTAGACTACAGTAGAGTAACGAGACTTAGTCTAGGAACTACCGTTGTGACTAATTTAGTCGCGAACACACTAAGCAACTAGACTTAGTCGAGGACTACAATTAGACAGTAGGCTAAAGTCTAGGACTACAGTAAAGTGAGCAAATCTATTCTAACTACAGTATAGTGGAGCAATCTTAGTCAAGGCAACAGTAGACTTACCCTAGGCTCTCGTTGTCAGTCAGTCGCAGTTCAAAGCGTGGAGTCCTGTCCCACCAATGCAGCGCGAAGTAGCACTCCTGTGGGAAATACAAGTGTACTGAGAACAAGTACTAAACTCCTCTGGTACTGTAACATCCGCACGTCTACCTTAGAGTACATTGTACTAAACCCTCCTCTCAGTGCCCACTCATCCTCCTTCAGAAGTACATTGTACTACAAACTCCAGCACTCATCCTTAAGAGTACATTGTGCTACCCACCTCAAGTACTCATCCTTCAGAGTACACTGTACTACCCTCCTCCAGTACTCACTCAGTCTTCAGAGTTACATTGTACTACAACCTCCAGTAACACATCCTTAAGAGTACATTGTGCTCAACCCCCTCAAGTACTCATCCTTCAAGTACACTGTACATACCCTCGCTCCAGTACTCACTCATCCTTCAGAGTACATAATGTACTACCAACCTCCAGTACTCATCCTTAAGAGTACATTGTGCTACCCACCTCCAGTACTCATCCTTCAGAGTACATTGTACTACCTTCCAGTACTCACTCATCCTTGAGTACACTGTACAGGTCTCCCTCAACATTCGCGAGGGTTAGGGATCAAGAAGCCTCTCGAACAGTTTAAAAAAACCGTGAATGTTTGTGCCCCAATATATTGTAGGGAAATATATTACTAATACTGCTTCCTTAACTTGTTGAACCATGAATAATCATAAAATACATGAAAACGTCGTAAATTGTACTAAATATATACATGTTATGCTTTAATAATGTATATATTTAAATAACAAAGTATGTTAATAACATGTATGTTAATAACCTGTATGTTAATAACATTGTATGTTAATAACATGTATGTTTAAGAACATGTATGTTAATAACATGTATGTTAATAACATTATGTTATTAAATACCACAGACCACCACTGCTCACACTGCCTCCACAACTGCCTCCACCACTGGCCTCCACCACTCTGCCTCCCACCACTGCCTCCACCACAGACTCACCAATGCCTCCACCAGCTGCCTTCCAACCACTGGATCCCCAACTACCCCCCCCCGAACCCCCCACAACGGCAGCCAGCCCTCCACCACTCCAGTGTGGTGAGTGTTTTGTTTGTATCATTATTTGCTAATAAACTACAGTATAAATCATGGTAAACGCCATTCATGACTGCATATTGAATGGCTATTTGGAAAGGTATTAGACGGTGACATCATGTTTTACTCTTGAAACACTGCAAAGAATCGAACATTTCTGCAATTGCTAATAAGAACAATAGTAAATAACGAATTAAATAATAATATTAATAATAAAATAATAATAATAATAATAATAAATACGATATAATTGAGAAGGAATTGTACAAAAATTATGAGGGAGTGGTTGACACATGCGTCATGTGACATTTGTTTTAGGCTGGATAGAACATTAGTCCTCCGTGCTCTTCAAACATTTCACAATAATTCAGCGGTGATGCAGTGATAGAGGCAGTGATAGAGGCAGGTAGAGGCAGTGGTATTAGGCAGTGGTATAGGCAGTGTATTTAATACATAAATGTTATAAATAATAATAGTACCATATTATTAATACATGTATTATTATTAACATGTATGTATATTAAATACCTTTGCCTCAATCACTGGCCTCAAACCACTCCAGTCACACAACCAATCTACAAGCACCAAACTATACGAGGGTCAATGAATTATTGTGAAATGTTTGGTAGAGCACGGAGACTAATGTTCACTCCACAAAACAAAGTCACACTGACGCTGTGTCAACACCTCCCTCGTTTTTTGTACAATTTCCTTCTTCAATTATATCGTATTTACTATTATTATTATTAGTAATATTACTAATTGTTTAGTATTATTATTACTATAGTCTTATTATTAGCAAACAGAAATGTTAATTCTTTGCCTGTGTTCAAGAGTGAAACACATGAAGTCACCGTCTAATACCTGTCCCTAATAGCCATTCCAATATGCATCATGAATGGGTTTACATTATTTATACTGTAGATTAATACAAAAAAATGACAAACAAAACCCTTCACCACACAGTGGTGGGAGGCAGGCTGCCAGTTGTGGGGGTCGGGTGAGGGTAGTAGTTGGACCCGCGGTGCGGAAACTTAAAAATGATTTGGCGGCTGGAATTTGGTGGCTGGATTTGGGTGGCTGGGAATTTGGTGGCTGGGAATTTGGTGGCTGGGAATTTGGTGGCTGGGAATTTGGTGGCTGGGAATTTGGTGGCTGGGAATTTGGTGGCTGGGAATTTGGTGGCTGGAAGTTGTGCTGAATTAGCAGTATGGGAAAATTCGCGAATGTTGTGAAGCCCGTGAAAGTTGAAAACGTGAATGTTGAGGGAGACCTGTACTACCCACCTCCAGTACTCATCCTTCAGAGTACATTGTACTACCCACCTCCAGTACTCAGCCTTCAGAGTACATTGTAGTACCCACCTTAGCGACTTCGGATAAGTTGTCCACTTTGAGCCGTGTTGGCTGCGGTGTTGGTGGTGTCGTAGATGGCCGTCTTGTGCCCGCAGCGGCGCCTCCTCATTAGCACTACTTGCGACCCCATGGGGCAGGATCGCCATGACCGTCTCCAGCTGTGCGCCCAGCGCCGTGTGTGCTGCCAGGAGCAACGTGCAGATGGTGCGGTGGGTTGCACGTGCCTGTGCTAGCCGCCATGATGCACCGCTGCCACCACCACCACCACCACCGCCACATTTGATGGTGTTGTTCTGCGGGGAGATATACTAATGAAGTTACAGTGAATGTACGAACCGTGCTCTGCGATGCACTACACTATGTTGCATTGCGGTACACTGCACTACACTACGATGCGCTGTGCTATGCTTCAGTACACAGCTATGTGCTACGCTGTGATGCTCTATAGTGTGGTGCACTACTCTGAGCTACACTACACTGCACACGGTTCTGTATTCACTGTAATTTCTTTACTTATTGTACTCTTTACTGTACTCAGTACATCAATTTTACGTACAGATTTTGATGGTAGAAATGTGCATATGAAAGAGCACACACAATGTACACAATATCTAGAGAGGGTTTCAAGGGTCAACACCCCCGCAGCCCGGTCTGAGACCAGGCCTCATGATGGATAAGGGTCTGATCACCAGTCTGTACGCTGGCCGAACGCACACCAAGTAGACGTAAGAAACCACAGCCCAGCTGATCAGGTACGAATTAGGTGCCTGACCAGTGCCTTCTTGAAGACAGCCAGAGGTCTATTGGTAATCCCCCTTATGTATGCTGGGAGGCAGTTGAACAGTCTTGGGCCCCTGACACTTATTGTGTTGTCTCAGTGTACTCATAGCGCCCCTGCTTTTCACTGGGGGAATGTTACATCTCCTGCCGAGTGCCTTTTGCTTTCATAGGGAGTGATTTTCGTGTGCAAGTTTGGTACTAATCCCTTCACCTTTTAGGATTTTCCAAGTGTATATTATCACACATCTCTTTCGCCTGCATTCCAGAGAATACAAATCAAGGGACCTCAGCCGTTCCCAGTAATTTAGGTGCTTTATGGTACTTATGTGTACCGTGAAAGTTCTATGTACATTCTCCAGATCAGCAATTTCCCCTGCCTTGAAAGGGGCAGTATTCTAGCCTAGAGAGAACAAACAATTTGAAGAGAATCGTCATGGGATTGGCATCCCTAGTTTTGAAGGTTCTCATTATTCGTCCTGTCATTTTTCTAGTAGATGAGGTAGATACATTGTTGTGGTCTTTGAAGGTCAGATCGTCTGACATTATCACTCCCAGGTCCTTCAGATTAGTTTTTCACTCTATTGTGTGGTTAGAATTTGTTGTATACCCTGAAACAGTTTTAATTTTCCCAAGTTCTCCATATTACAGTAGTTGAAATTTCTCATCATTGAACTTCATATTGTTTTCTGCGGGCCATACAAAGATTTGTTTGATGTCCGCCTGGAGCCTGGCAGTGTCTGCGATGGATGACACCGTCATGGTAAATGTGTCAGATATAAGGATGAGGAACAGGGTGGGAGCGAGTACTGTGCCTTGTGGAACACTGGGAGCGAGTACTGTACCTTGTGGAACACTGGGAGCGAGTACTGTACCTTGTGGAACACTGGGAGCGAGTACTGTGCCTTGTGGAACACTGGGAGCGAGTACTGTGCCTTGTGGAACACTGGGAGCGAGTACTGTGCCTTGTGGAACACTGGGAGCCAGTACAGTACCTTGTGGAACACCAGGGAAGCGATACTGTGCCTTGTGGAACACTGGGAGCCAGTACTGTACCATGTGGAACAACTGGGAGCCATACTGTAACCTTGTGGAACACTGGAGTCCAGTACTGTGGCCTTGGTTGTGAACACTGGAGCCAGTACTGTGCCTTGTCGACACATCTGGGAGCGATACTGTGCCTTGTGGAACACTGGAGCCAGTACTGTAACTTGTGGTAACACTGATGGGCCAGCTACGTGCCTTGTGGAACACTGGGACGATACTGTACCTTGTGGAAACAACTGGTATCCAGTACTGTGCCTTGTGGACACTGGAGCCAGTACTGTGCCTTGTGGAACACTGGGAGCCAGTACAGTGCTTGATGGAACACTGGGAGCAAGTACTGTGCCTTGTGGAACACTCCTGGAGCGAGTACTAGATGCCTTGAGGACACTGGGAGCCAGTACTGTGCCTTGTGGAATCACTGCAAGGCGGAGTACTGGCCTTGTGGAAAAATCTGGGAGCCAGTACTGTTCCTTGTTGAAACACTGGGAGCGAGTACTGTGCTTGTGAACACTGGACGAGTACAGTACCTTGTGGAACACTGGGGAGCGAGTAATGTAACCTTGTGTAGACACAGGGAGCGAGTACTGTACCCTGTGGAACACTGGAGCCAGTACTTGTGCTTTTGTGGAACACTGAGAGCGAGTACATGTACCTTGTGGATCACTGGGGCTCCATTACTGTCCTTGTGGAACACTGTGAGCCAGTACTGTGACCTTGTGTAACACTGGGAAGCCAGTACTGTGGCCTTGTGGAACACTGGGGCGAGTACTGTGCCTTTGGAACACAGGGAGCGAGAGCTGTGCTTGTGGAACACTGGAGGAATACTGTGGCTTGTGGAACACTGAGAAGCGAGTACTGTGCCTTTGATAGAACACTGGAGCGAGTACTGTACCATGTGGAACACTGGGAGCCAGTAACTGTACCATGAGTGAACACTGGGAGCGAGTACTGTAACTTGTGGAACACGGGGAGCCAGGTACTAGCTTTTGTGGAACACTGGGAGCCAGTACTGTGCCTTGAGGAACCCTGGAGCGAGTACGGTACCTTGGTGGATCACTGTGAGCGAGTACTGTTGCCTTGTGGAACACTGGGAGCCATTACTGACCTTTGTGGAACACTGGTAGCGAGTACTGGTGCCTGTGGAACACTGGAGCCATATCTGTGGCTTGTGGAACACAGGGAGTGAGTACTTGGCCTTGTGGAACACTGGGAATACAGTACTGAACCTTGTTGAACACTGGAGCGAGTACTTGCCTTGTGGAACACTGGAGCGATTAATGTGCCTTTGGAACCTGGGAGCGAGTACTGTCCTTGTGGATCAGAGCTTTTCACTGTGCCACCTTAGCATTTACTATAACACTTTGTGTTCTATTTGTCAGGAATTATAGATCCATCTACCAACTTTTCCTGTATCAACATTTCGTGCACTATTACACCATGGTTACGTGCATCAAAGGCTTTTGCAAAGTCTGTGTATACTATATCTGCAATTTGTTTATCCTCTACAGCATCCAGTCCTTGTCATTAGTGTCCAGAAGTTGGGACAGCAGAAGCGACACTGCTCTAAACCCGGTGTTGCCCGGGGTTGTTTAACTGATGGGTTATCTAGATGGTGGGTGATCTTGCTTCCATAGGAACCTTACAAGATTTTTATGATATGGGATGGTTAGTGCTAATTGGTCTGTAAGTTCATTGCTTGTTGCTTTACTGCCCCCTTTGAGGAGTGGGGCTATGTCTGTTTTGTTTTTATTGGGACGACCCCGTGTCCATGCTCCCCCTCCATAGGATGGTAAAATCTCTTGATAGGGGCTTCTTTTTATTGGGGGCACAGTTCTTGATGAACACGAGTTCCCACAACAATTCAACCATTGTTCAGTTGGGTTCAGACCAACAAAAAAGTACTAAGGATGCTAAAATTCTTATGCATGAATTTTTAATTTCTAATATACTCTGCACTTAAGAAAAATTAATTTCGCTCTGGGACTGGTTCATAATTCATGAAAAGCTTCTGATACAGTTTGACCCTGTGCACCTAAAACTTGAACAATACGGGTCAGAGGACACTCTCTCGATTACCTAAATCTATCTTAGCAAACAAACCCAGTATGTATACACAAATGGAGCAAATCCACTACACAACCTGTTCTGTGTTGAGACCCCCATGGTAGTGTTCTTGTTGGAGTCCCCTCAGTGGTATGTGTCTTAGTTTGGAAGTCCCACAGGGGAGCTTTCTTGGCCCATTTTCTCTATTCTCATTTACATCAATGACCTCCCAAATGCATCTAATCCTCCTTAAAACCCAATTTTTTTGCAGATGACACAACTTATATCTTTTTCCACCCAAACTGAACCATACGTAAACAGACACAGTAAATTCTGACTCTAAAATTAATTACTTGGTGATTACTAACAAACTTAGTCTCAATTTAGACAAACCTACTTCATGCTTTATGGACACTAGAGCTTCAAATGTAAACAGCTAAACATATTGAATAAATGGTTCACCCCTTTCTAGAAACCACAGAAGGCAAATTTCTAGGTCTCCACCTTGACGTGCAGCCTCAAGTTTCAGACACTCGCACAAATACAGCAAAATTCTCAAGAATCTCCAAAACAGTTAGGCATCTTTTCAAGGAACGGTACTAATGTACCCCAATTCAGCTCTTCTAGCTTGTACCACTCTCCACACTTACCCTTACACACACCTAAGGTATTTGTGCATGTACCCAATCCATAGCAAAAACACCTTAAGCCTTATAACCTTTTGGTTTTCGGCCATACTAGTATGGCTTTACGCACCAGCGTTTTTGACGTACTAGTACGCATATATTCTAGCGCCCTCAAATCTAGCAAGAGAAAGCTGGGTAGGCCTACATATGAAAGAATGGTTCTATGTGGTCAGTGTGCACAGATGTAAAAAAAATCCTGCAGCAAACAGTGCATAAATTGAGAAAAAAAAAAAAAACGTTTGACAGTGTTTTTTGGTTTAAAACAGCGCTTTGCACTGTATATTCTATGGTAATTATGGTTGTAATTCTAGTTTTCTTGGTCTTAATTTTATAGAATGGAAGACAAAATACAGAAATTGAGATGGATTTTTTATTGGTTCAACAATGAAAAGTACCTTAAAATTGAGCTCGAAGTAGCAGAAATGTTCGATTTGTGCCTAAGTTCAAAAGTAAACAAATCATGCCACGCGTCCAATATCACATAACTGGCGAGTTTAATTATTCTTCACAAGAGAACGGTATTATTTATACCATTTCTACACTAATACAGTAGTCTAACAAACAGTAAATCTTCTATTTTTTGTGAGAATAAAAATTCAAAGTGGAAAGCAAAGAAATGAAGAGGGGCCGTGAGACGTGACTAATGAACAAGGAAATGTAATTTAGTGCCATGATGTCCCTTTCTGTTTATACTGGACCCATTTGGAATTGCATCTTTTGAAATTTGTTGTGAAATTGGC